ACTGTGCAACACCAGCAAGCCTGGTTTCTCTTATGAGTTAATGAAGTATTGTCACTGAGTCATTGCTGTCCGCCCCATCCATGAGGTTTTTTTGGGAAAACACTCTTTTTGAAACCCCAGTAGGCCTGTTCTGCTGGAGTAGGGGCTGGCAGAGGGGTGGGGTGACGGGTGAGAGCTGCGCCCTGGCAGGAAGGGGCCGAGCCTGTGCCTGGGAGGCGGCCTGCGGATCTGGGACACAAGCAGGGCTCGCCCTATTTGAGGTCATCTTTTCAGCACCTGGCCCTTTATTTTGCTTTCCACCTTCAGTTTCTTTTCAAAGATTGCAAATGTAAAGGCTGCAGTGGACAACAGGCCAGGGAAATGATGAGCAGCGGGGTCCCGAGAGGGTGCAGCCTGGGCTCCCAGTGCCTCCCTTTCAGTGGATGGTTACCTGCTGTGTGTGTGTGTGTGTGTGGGTGTGTGTGTGTGCGTGTGTGCGTGCGTGTGTGTCTGTGTGAGGGCCGGTGTGTGTGTGTGTGTGTGTGTGTGTGTACGCGTGAGGGCCGGTGCGTGTGTGTGTGTGTGTGCGTGTGTGTCTGCGTGAGGGCCGGTGCGTGTGTGTGTGTGTGTGAGCGTGTGTGTGTGTGTGCGTGCGCGTGTGTGTCTGCGTGAGGGCCGGTGTGTGTGTGCGCGTGTGTGTCTGCGTGAGGGCCGGTGTGTGTGTGTGTGCGTGTGCGTGTGAGGGCCGGTGTGTGTGTGTGTGTGTGTGTGTGCGTGTGCGTGCGTGTGTGTGAGGGGCGGTGTGTGTGTGTGTGTGAGAGGGGTGGTGTGTGTATGTGTGTGTGTGTGTGTGTGTGAGGGGCGGTGTGTGTGTGTGTGTGTGTGTGTGTGCGCGTGCGCGTGTGTCAGCGTGAGGGCCGGTGTGTGTGTGTGTGTGTGTGTGTGTGTGAGGGGTGGTGTGTGTATGTGTGTGTGTGTGTGTGTGAGGGGCGGGGGGTGTGTGTGTGTGTGTGGGGCGGGGTGTGTGTATGTGTGTGTGTGAGGGGCGGTGTGTGTGTGTGTGTGTGTGTGCGTGCGCGTGTGTCAGCGTGAGGGCCGGTGTGTGTGTGTGTGTGTGTGTGTGTGAGGGGCGGTGTGTGTGTATGGGTGTGAGGGCCAGTGTGTGTGTGTGTGTGTGTGTGTGCGTGTGCGTGTGTGAGGGGCGGTGTGTGTGTATGGGTGTGAGGGGCAGGGTGTGTGTGTGTGTGTGTGTGTGCGCGTGTGTGTGTGTGTTTGTGTGAGGGCCGAGGTGTGTGTGTGTGTGTGTACGCGTGGGTGAGGGGCGGTGTGTGTGTGTGTGTGTGTGAGGGGCGGTGTGTGTGTGTGTGAGGGGTGGTGTGTGTGTGTGTGTGTGTGAGGGGCGGTGTGTGTGTGTGTGTGTGTGTGTGTGTGAGGGGCGGTGTGTGTGTGTGTGGGAGGGGGCGGGGTGTGTGTATGTGTGTGTGTGGGGGGCGGTGTGTGTGTGTGTGTGTGTGTATGTGAGGGGCGGTGTGTGTGTGTGTGGGAGGGGGCGGGGTGTGTGTATGTGTGTGTGTGGGGGGCGGGGTGTGTGTGTGTGTGTGTGAGGGGCGGTGTGTGTGTGTGTGTGTGTGACTGCAGGCATATGGTGGCCCAATGCCAAGAGCTCCCTGTTCTGCAGGCTGTGAGGACTCTGACTTTTCCTGACACCAGGATCCAAGACCAGCTGCGAGCAGCCTGCCTGCGCCCTGAGGCTCGGGCGGGCTGAGGGAGTAAGGGGGGTGAACCTGCTATTTAATAAAGTCACCGCCACCTGCATTATTAGGGTTCGGGGGAGGTTTAGGGGTGCAGTCATGGAGAGCCTAGTAACAACACAGCCTCTGAGGCCTGGCTCCGAGCTGAGACCCTAGTGAGTGCCGTTGGGACCAGGGAGCACTGTTGTGGGGGAAACACGTGGTGGAAAGGGTTCTCGGGGAGCCGGAGCCGCGCGAGAGCTCTGTTCCATGGACTCACCCTGCAGCGAGGCCCAGCTCCCTCAGCCCGGCGTCCTTTCCGGGGCAGCCGGTCCGGTCCCTGCAGCATCAGGCTTGGCAGCCACCGCGGCCGGCACGACGGGCGAATGCAGGGAGCCCACAGGCTGACTCACACACGTCCCCATGCTCATGCCTGCCGTGGCCGCCCACGCGGCACCACCCGCCCGGCGGCGACGGCAGCCAGCTCCTGCCCTCTGTCCCCAGCTTAGCTAGGCTCGTGTCTCGTCCTGCGCAGTCCCCGGGGAGGGGCAGTGCTCGCTGGTGGAGCTGTCCCCCTGGCACCAGGATGGCACCCCTTTGTTCCTTCCGGCAGGAGCGGGCTAATGACAATGGACCTGCCTCAGCGGGCCCTCCCCCGTCAGCGGTCTGCTGAGGGCTGGCTGCAGGTCCTGTGGTCGGGACGTGTGCTGTCCCAGACACGGCTTCTGGGCGTGTCCACGCTGCAGGCTGGGGCAGGGGTTCTGGGGGAGGGCCAGCCTTGTCCGGGGAGGAGAGGGCTCTTTCCTGGGCATGGGGCCATCCGGACTGACGTCACAAACCCGCGTGAAGTCATATCCTGTGTCAGAAAGGGGGTGTCCCTGAAACGGAACACCTTACAGATGCGAGCCAAGTAGAGCACCCAGCAGCTGTCCATCAGCCGGTCCTCAGAGCTGCCCCTCCTCAGGTCTGCCCGCAGCCTGGGGGGGGGGGGGGCTGAGGCCGGGAGTGCAGGCCGGCTTCTCAGGCTATAAATGGGGGGGGGGGGTGCTAGGATGTCAAGTAAGTCTTATTTGCAACATTTCCCGGGGACCTTGAAGATTACATTTAAAAAGAACAATGCCGAAGCCTCAACCACTGAAACAGATTTTGTCCAATCGAAACACACCCTCATTTTATATGCCAGCAAGCAAGCGAGAGCGGAAACAACAGCAAACACAGGAGCAGGGTGTATAACAGGGACTTTCAGGAATGCCAGGTGAGCAAACAGCCACTTCTTGGAATCCTGGCGCGCCAGTTCGCAGCTCTCCTCTGCCAGGAAGCCTCCGAGGCAGCACCGGCTCCCGGCTATTTTTCTTCTCTCTCTCTCTGCAGGGGAGCTGCCGGCTGCCAGGAATCCCGTCCTTCCTGCCCGGCTCCGAGGCCGGTGCGCTGCAAAAGGAGGGTCCGCCCAGCCCACCCCCAGCTCCGAGGGACAGAGAGCGGACAGCCTGGAATGCTGCAGTCCCCAGTCTCCTAAAGTTTTATTATTCTACTTATTTCTGGAAAACAAGCTTTTTACGTATGCATATTTAAATAACTCAGACATTTCAAATAGCATCAGAATATGGGCTCTCCCTCCATATTCGTGCCCACCTCCTCCACGGTGGGTTTTGCAGCTGTTACTCTGACTTCCATCAAGGCTAAGGTGACCAGATGTCCCGCTTTTTAAATCTGTCCCGCGTCCCGTTTTAAAAAAATCGGGACTTTTTTAAAACGCCGCGGGATGCCGGACAAATTGTTAAAAAGCGGGACTCTGGTCACCTTAATCAAGGGGTAGCTTGGATGAGGCCCAGAGAACCCTGTCAGGGCCAGCCCCAGAGGCCAATGGAAAGGGGAGGTGCGGAGAGGAGGGTCAGATCCTCCTGGCGGCCTGTAGATGGCGCCAGGGGAAAGGGACTGGGACTGGAGCCCGGTTCCGGAGGAGGAGCGCACCTGGTGCCGCACATGTGCTTTTCACCCCCACCCCCATCTCCCCCAGCCCCATCTCCCCCACCCCCACTCCCCACGCCCACCTCCATCCCCCCACCCCCACCTCCATCCCCCCACCCCCACTCCCCATTGCTCCCCACCCCAGCCCTGACGCTCCGAACGCCCAGAGGGCTGGGTGGGGCGGGTTACAGGCCGTGGGTGCCAAGGGGCCGTGCAGCGGGTGGACCCACGGGACCAGAGGGCCGGGGCCAGACCCCCGCGCTCCAGGCCACTCGCCCACACTCACCCGGGCACCGCCTGCCCGCCCCTCCCGCCGCGGTGAGAAAGCCGCGATTCTCCTCCTGCCACCGCCACGCAAGGAGCCGGCAAGGAGCGCGTGCGCCGCAGTCTGCTCGCGACCCTGTCCCCAGCACCCAGCACCCAGCCCCGCGGCACCCCGCCCCCAGCACCCAGCACCCAGCCCCGCAGCACCCCGCCCCCAGCACCCAGCCCCGCGGCACCCCGCCCCCAGCACCCAGCCCCGCTGCACCCCGCCCCCAGCACCCAGCCCCGCGGCACCCAGCCCCTAGCCCCGCGGCACCCCGCCCCCAGCACCCAGCCCCCAGCCCCCAGCCCCGCGGCACCCCGCCCCCAGCCCCCAGCCCCGCGGCACCCAGGCCCGCAGCACCAGGGCCGGGGAGCGGCCGGACCCTCCAGCGCCGGGGCTGGGTGGGGACTCGGAGCTCCCGGGTCGCCGCGCTCAGGGCCGGCGGCGGGGCTGCGGCCGGAGCTTTGGAAGCTTAGCGCCGGCGCGGGGGGAGGCGGCTATTTTGAGTTTCGGCTTCACAGTAACAGACTCAAACACTCCAGGTTAAAGAGTTAAGACAAAACTAGAAAGAGAGCAACAAAAATAAACGCAAGACAAATCCTGTGGGTTCTCCAAAGGTGCATTTCAAAACTGCGGAGTCCTCTCGCAAACAGGGTTTTAAATATAACTTTTCCTTTTAAGGACTGAAAAAAGCCGACGAAGCCTGCAGGCGCGGTCTGCCTGGTAACAGCCACAGCGCGCGGCTCCGCGGCTCGGTCCTCCCCCGCGGCCCCCGCGGCCGTCTGGCACGAGCCGCGCCGCCTCATTTGCATCAGAAAGCGGCGCCGACCAATGGGCTCGCAGCCCCGCCGCCGCCTCATTTGCATCAGAAAGCAGCGCCAACCAATGGGCGCGCAGCTCCGCGCCAGCTGGCGGCGCCGGGGCCTTTATAAGCGCGCGCCGCGGCTGCCAGCGGACTCGCTCGCGCGCCAGCGGGCTGCCCAGTTCCCTCCGCTCCGTGCCGCCCCCGCGCCGCCTCTCCGCGTGGATATCGCCGCTCCGTGCACCCACCTCCGCTCCCTCCGCTCCGTGCGCCGCCTCTCCGCGTGGACACTGCCGCTCCCCGCCGCCCCGCTCCGCACCATGACTCTGGAGGAGACCCGCGGCCAGGACACGGTTCCTGAAAGCACAGCCAGGTAGGTGGGCGCCGATGCCGGACGTCTGTGAGCGCGGGAGCCTCGTCCCGCCTGCCTTGGCCGCCGCTGGCCGGGGAGCCGACGAGCCCGGGGCCGGGGAGCCGCTGCGCGGGAAGCCGGGGAGCCCGGGGCCGGGGAGCCCGCGGGCCGGGGAGCCGCTGTCCCGGGCGCCGGGCGGGTACGTCGCGGGCTCTCGGTGCGTCCCGCGCTCACGGCTCCGCTCTTCCAGGATGCAGGGCGCCGGGAAGGCGCTGCACGAGCTGCTGCTGTCGGCGCAGCGCCAGGGCTGCCTCACCGCCGGCGTGTACGAGTCCGCCAAGGTCCTCAACGTGTGAGTGCGCGGGGCCGGGGCGGGCAGCGGGCCGCGCAGGCTGGGAGCGGGCGGCGGCGGGGAGACGCGGGGACCCCGGGCTCTGCCCTGACCGCACCGCCCTCCTTCCCCGCGCAGCGACCCCGACAACGTGACCTTCTGCGTGCTGGCCGCGGACGCGGAAGATGAGGGCGACGTGGCGCTGCAGATCCACTTCACGCTGATCCAGGCCTTCTGCTGCGAGAACCACATTGACATCGTGCGCGTGGGCGACCTGCAGCGCCTGGCGGCCATCGTGGGCGGCGAGGCGGGCGCGCCCGGGGACCTTCACTGCATCCTCATCTCCGTGAGTGTCCCCCGGCTCCCGCTCCCCCCATCCCCGGGCTCCTCCGCCCCGGGCTCCCTCATCCCCGGGCTCCCCCGCCCCGCGCTGACTGTGCGCGCGCTCCCCCCGCAGAACCCGCATGAGGACGCGTGGAAGGACCCCGCGCTGGAGAAGCTCAGCCTGTTCTGCGAGGAGAGCCGCGGCGTGAACGACTGGGTGCCCAGCGTCACCCTCCCCGAGTGAGCGCCTGCGGCGCGGTCTGATCGATGCGGAGGCGCCCTCGGAGGGCGGAGGGCCTGGAGTGAGGGCAGCGTGGAGACCGGCCCGGGGCCTGGAGAGCCAGAGGAGGCGGCGCCCTCCGGAGGGCCCGCAGGCGGCGGGCGGCCTGGCCCGGAGCCCGGAGCCCGGGACAGTACAAGTGCGGGAGCTGCGCCCCGGAGGCCGGAGGCGGACTTGGCTGGAGCTGGAAGGACGGAGCGGCCGGGCAGTGACTCAGCAGCCCGATCCGGGGAGGAAGCGGGGGAGAGGCAGGCCAGGGGCCTGGACTGCAACAGCCGCCGGAGCCCTGGCTGGCCCAGCAGTCTGTGCTGCTGCTTCCAAAGGGACCGATGCTTCGTTTTCTAAAGGATTATGCTGCTGCAGCTGTGACTGTTGCAATAAACTCCCTGAAACACAGCACTCTCTTTATTGAGGGCGGGTCCCTCCTGAGGGGAGATGGTCTGCAGGTGCAGATACTGCACAGCTCACGGAGCTGGAGGCACCTGTTCCCACCTCTTGCCTGGTCTGAGGTACAGGCCCCGGGGAGCGGGAGGTGGAGAAGGGGAGGCTGCCCAGAGTTAGGGCAGGACGTGAGACCAGCTCCTGCTTTTCTCCTTTTAGGAAGGTTTTTAAATGTGCAAGATGGGAGCATGCTTGAGATAAGACATCAGTGGCACAGCTAAAAGCTGGCTATCCAAGCTGATAACGGCAGCCTCCTGTCCCCTCCCCCTCCCCCTCCCCCCACTTCCCTTAGACAGCTGCTTATCTGAACAGCTTGGAGGGCAGGCAGCCTTCCCACACAGTGAGCTTTGCCTTGTGCCCAGAAACAGCCCTTTGTGGTCCCTAAGGCTGGCGGCAGACAGCTGTCAGGAACCTTTCCTCTTAAAGGCATGGCCAGCAGTGTCACCACGGTATTAGCTCTCAGTGTGACAGGGAGGCTGCACGTAAGCATGAGTCATCGTTTTGTCATGGCTGCGACAGAAAAAAGATCTGAGCAAAGCGGGAAGGCATCGTCTGCACAAGTAGGCGTGAACAAGTCTCCTCTGCCGTCTGCTATTCCGGGCTCTGCCCACCTGGAGGACTGCTGCGGCCCAGTGCCACGGGAGACGTGGAGGAAAGGATTTAAATCTTTTCAGCAAAGGCCTACTTCAGAAGGACCCCGGGGAATGTCCCAAGTGACCCTGTCTTACTAGACATGTGGGCTGGTGGCCTCTGCCTGACAGCGTGCTGGCGACGCTGCAGGCCACGAGCCCCCTGGGTGGGGGTGGGGTGGGGTGCGGGTGCTGCTTTTCTAAGAAGGAGAGCTCATGGCGTAGAGCAGGTCCAGGTGGCGGTTTTGCCTTGTTGGGTTCTGCTTTTTACATTTTCTCCAAATCATGGGAGCATTCGTAGTGCAACAGGCCTCTACGAGTGTTTCTCCCGGAATGAAAGCAGCATGTCTCACATCAGCGCTTAAAAACGCTTCTCCTGTAAGACAACGCCCACTGGACAGCTCCGCTGGGTTTCCCTGGCTGCAGCAGACCTTTGAGGTGGCCGTGCCCTCGGTGAGCTGTAGCAGACACCTGTGGGCGTCAGTCCTCCATGTGGCCCCTTCCGCGAGTGTATTTAGCAGGAGATTGCCCCGAGCAGGCGGGCAGACCTTCCCGCTGGCTGAGCCACCCCAGTTCAGTGGGAAGCCCTTAAGAAACAGCTTCAGCCCTCACCAGTTTGGCTCAGTGGGTAGAGCGTCCGCCTGCGGACTCAAGGGTCCCCAGTTCGATTCCGGTCAGGGGCATGTACCTTGATTTCGGGCACATCCCCAGTAGGAGGTGTGCAGGAGGCAGCTGATGTTTCTCGCTCATCGATGTTTCTAACTCTATCCCTCTCCCTTCCTTTCTGTAAAAAATCAATAAAAAAAAAAATATATATATATATATATAAAGGAAACGACTTCACAGATTAGAATTTATAGCAAGGCCACCCCATGGGGCCCCAGGGGCTAGGAGAATGTGAGGGGAAAGTGTGTGCTGGGACACTGCCAGCCCCAAAGGTTGTGCTTCCGTGTTCTGTATGAATGGGTGTTGGATGCTATTGAAATGAAATATCTCAGGAGGAATGTACAAAAATGCACGGTGCTCACAAATACATCACTGCATTCATACTCTGACAACCTGAAGTATGGCACACATAAGCTGATTATCACATGCCTGTTGAGTCGAGCCTGTGGCCTGCTGGGCACAGTCCTCTGCGTCTAGAAAATGCCGAACTGACGTTAATGCCAACGATACTTAACAGTGACTGGCAGCGGCTGCTGAGGGTCACAGACCCAAAGCAGATGCGCATTTGAGATGCTGTCCGGTCCCAGGGCCCAGCACTTCCCCTGCTGCCACACCTCCCAGCGCCAGCCGCTGGCATCGGGGGAAGGCTACCTTCTAAGATAACTTTGGAAGTTTATCCGAGATTTTGCCTTCATTGCAGGCATTCCTCTGTTTGTATCCATTTATTCATTCACTGTGTGAAACAAGTGAGGGAAAGAGGCTGGCACATTCTGGTGTCTCCCTCTCTCCTCCTTTTCCCTGGGGGCACACACTTAAACACATGCAACGCCATCACACACAGCTCCCAGGCCCGCACACCTCATGGGGGTGACCCCAAAGGCCAAAGGGAACGTCCTTCGTCAGCCGCAGGGAGACCTGCTTGCTTAAGTGAGCAGTGCGGCAGGCCCGGTGCGGCCGAGGGCACGGAGGCCGGTGGAGCTGGCAGGCGGGATGCCCACTGCCCTGACCCGCCTTCCATGCCTGTGCTTGGACAGAGGAGTCCTGGTCTTTGGAAGGAGCCCGTGTTTTAGTCTAGGTCAAGCTTGCCTTCTTTAACTGATAGAAAAGGAATGCTGGACAGTGTACTTCTCTTGGCCAGTGGAGTGTGCGTGTAAACAGCGCCCGAGGCCACTCTCCAGGCACCGGGGAGGCCGCGGCACCTGCCGCTGAAGGCGAGGGCTGCCGGCTGCGGCTGGATCGGGAGCAAGTGGCTGTGGGAGCAACTGGAAACACCCAGCGGTGCAGGATCCCACCCTCAGCAGCAAAGGTCTCAGCCCGAGTGAGCTGGGCTGGGGAGGAAGGCACGGCCCTGGGCCTGGCCTTGGGGTGGGATAGGTGGATGGTTCGTTCGTTTGTTCATTCATTCACTCATTCATTCATTCCTTCACTCATCTCCTCATCGCTGCTTTCATGTTCCGTGGACATTTTCTGTTCGGCATTTCCCAGGAGGGGCTCCAGCAGAGGAGGAGCCGGGGGTCTGAGGTGCTGTGCGGGCGGGCAGGGCTGCAGCCGCCCACAGCGCTCACCCAGGGAAGGGCGATGGGGACACAGCAGCACCGTTCCCCATGTGGGTAGATGATGTGATGAGAACCACAGACCACCTAACCAGTCACACTGGCATCGCAGGCCGCGAGGCATTCTCACTCCGCCTCCCCCTCTCCCATCTGTTTTTTTCTTCTGGTGTCTCTCCAGTCCACCTCTCTGGCTGTGACCACCTGTTTCTTCCCAAACACATGTAGTGACCTCCCACTTCTCACCAAGTTATGCCCCCCCCCCCCATCTCATTCCTTTGCTCCCCTTGCCCTTCTCTCCTTTCCTCTTTCCCTCCCCGTTTTCCTCTCTCCTTTACCTTTCCTTCCCCTCCAAATTATTGACCTCCTGCCTGCCCAGGCCCTGACGGCGAGCCATGCTCTCCCCGTGCTGTGACGGCTCCCTAGCCTGGCATCTGGCTCTCTCCCTCCTCAGCTCTCCCGCCCTGCTGTTCAATCCCCGGTCACCCAAGCCCATGGCTCTGTCCCCCTCCCCGTCCACTGCTCAGGCCCTGATCTCTTGGAGGTTAAGCCTGAAGTGCACACGCCCTGGACCAGAGCCCAGTGGAAGTGTGTCCTGTGTCCTTCTAGGAGCCAGGGTCCTTGCTCTGAAGTGGGCTTGGCACACAGGGCAGGGCTGTGGGCACCAGGCAGTGAGACTTGCCTGCCTGGCGTGTCTCCACCTTAGGCAAATGTGGGGTCCACAGTTAGGTCTCCCGGACACTCTCAGGGCCCCATCAGCCTCCGTGACTCCTGCTTTCCTTCCTTTCTTCTGTCTAGTGCACCTGCCGCCTCCTGCCTGGGCCATGCTAATGGGCCCTCCCAGGTGTGAGAATGCTGGTCTAGGGCCTGGTCCAAGGAGATCCTGGAGAAGTGGGAAGGATGCCAGAGTCTGGCCTTGACCCCAGCAGACCACTCTTCCTCTGTTTCCTCTTCCTTCTTCCTGCCTTTCCTTGAGCCCCTGAGCATGACGGCCAGAGGCTGGCACTGATAGCCTGGTCACCTTAGGGGGAGGGAGCCAGTGCCCAGCGCTGCAGGGCTCACAGGGCAGGCGGTGGGGCTGTCTCCACTCCCCTTGTTGCCGGCAGGGGACCTGGCTGCCAGCCTGTGGTGGTGGGCCCCAGCCTTCGTGCAGGGAAGATTTCACAGTCTGAGTCCAGGGGCTTTTTTTTTTTTTATGTTAATTCTTGTCAATTTTATTTGGTTGGTTTTGGCCTGTGATTCATGCAAGCCTGTCTATACAATAATGCATTCTAACTTATAATATTAGAATGCATTATTGTATAATTTATTAATAGGGAGACTCTCATTGAAGTAAGCATGAATAACATTTCTGCAGAATGCATTAAAAGCCAATGTTAAATTATTCTGATCATAATATTTTCTATTTTTTTAAAATCAATCTTTACTGTTCATATTATTACAAAGGTTCCTCATTTCTTCCCCCCTCCACCAGGTTCCCACCCCACCCTCTGCCCTTTCCCCACCCCCCATTGTCCTCATCCATAGGTGCACAGTTTATGTTCAGTCTCTTCCCACACCCACCACTCCCCCTTTCCCAGAAAACTGTCAGTCCACTCCCCTCCCGTATCTCCGACTTTACTACAATCAACAGCTAATATTGTTCATCAGGTTTTTTAATTTCCTTTTTTTTAATTAATAAACTTTTATATTTTTAAGAATAAATTTTAAAATCTAATAATTTTAAACCTT